TAGATAGAAAATATTGATATTACAGTATCAGCAATAAATAAAGAAACAGCACTTCACTGATATAAAAAAATCAAAATTAATATAATGTCGTATAAAAGTCAAGTAAGAATATATATATATATATATATATATATATATATATATATATATATATATATATATATATCCTGTTGATAATGCAGTAGCAAGTTCTCTGGCAATTCAATGTAAAGTCAGATATCTCTGTAGGGTACACTTTGTTCTATAACTGTATACAGAGATCTATGGATAAATGCATCAAGACTGAATATCAGAGATTGAGAGTGAAAAAGAAACGGGGAGGGAGGATAAACTATATAGATATATGTATATATCAATAAATGAGAATATCAATTCCTGCAGTAATATTACTTGATATTGAGACTAACTGCTGGGTATTTGAGCGGTAGATGGAAACTGCATCGCGAGTTTCAATTCCAGGTCAGCTTGTATTCACTTTAGAATAAATGTCATTGGGTAAGGCATGAATCGGTGTTTCCTGCTCCAACCCAACCATGGGTTAATTTGTAGGGTAGAGTGGTAATTCACAGATAATACTGACATAAAATATATGGAAAGTTTCTATAAACGAATTCTGTGGATCATACACACACACACACACACACACACACACACATATATATATATATATATATATATATATATATATAACTCGACTCTCACGTCGAATTCCACGTATGAGGGTGAAGCAGATAAGTTCCTAGGAAACCGACAGCCCGACAACAGCACATGAGAATTCATTATAGTGGTGAAGGTTTCATGCAGGACCATCCATACTTTTTGAAGGGTCGAATACAGAGACCTGGTGCACTAAGTGCCACAAGGTCCCCAAACGACCCTCCGCGGGTTTTGAATTCAGAGGTGTCCTTCTTCTAGACTAGTTGTCATCCAAGGCTATAGAACACAGTCTGTCCTACTATTTACCCATAGCTGGAGGGAGAAGAAGAGGATTCATACCTTTCCAATGGTATTAGCACATACACACACACACACACACACATATATATATATATATATATATATATAAATATATATATATATATATATATGATGAGTCCCAAATATAGGACGAAACGGCCGTCCAGTGCCTTCTGCATTCTGTTGAGGTTTCTTCTAGACTCGATGAATTACTTAATTATCTCAAATCCACTTTAATTTCTATCATTTGTATATCCTTGCTTGAACCAGCTTCTAATTCTCTGGATGGAGCGATTTGCTGATGGTAGTCGAGGCTCTCGGAGGCACAGTCCTCTGGGTAAATGAACTTGGATATATATATATATATATATATATATATAATGAATCAAGTTCATATATATATATATATATATATATATATATATATATATATATATGTATATATATATACACACACACACACATGCATGCATACACACAAGAACCTTTAAACAAAATTCTTTTCAGGTCACACAGCCTTACACAACTTGTCATTAGTGAGGCTTAGCTTATTAAACTTTATATTCCCACTATCAATCTCTATTTAGCAAAAGGAGATGATGTGGTAAAATTCTGTAAAAATAGAAGTCTTGCCCCGAGGAACTGGCCGCACATTGCACATAACCACCAAGAATCACACAAACCGCTCGAACACAACACTATAAATTTCTATGTAGCAGCCGTACACACAGTTTTACCATCCCAAAAACACATCCTTGATAATGGCTAGAGAAGAATCCGAAAGCTGTCGGAACAATTGTAAATATGGACAATTCTTATCGTCATTAACGCCTGAAAAAAGAAAAAAATGTTAGATTGCTTGGAAAAAGTCAATAAAAGATTAAATAAATCTTTCTTTTCGGCCGCTTTCAATAAAAGATGCATGAAAGAAATGTTGCTGCCAAAATACACACACACACACACACACACATATATATATATATATATATATATATATAGATAGATAGATAGATATAGATGTGTGTGTGTGTGTGTGTCTGTGTAAATTATTGTCAGATAGTGTGTATCTGTAAACGAACAAAATTAATAAAACAAGAGGAAAAACTATTATTGGGCGACGCGTTTCGTCCTCTGAGGGACTTTAACATGATAAATGTCAAATTTGCCTTGATAAAGTGAAATGTCAAAGTCGCCTTGATAAATTCCCTCAGAAGACGAAACGCGTCGGCAAAGAATAGTTTTCCCTTTCGTCTTTCTATTCCGAACATAACAGCAAAATAGTCCAAATCGTGTAACAGCATGTGATAATAGTCCATACCACAATATGTTTATCGCTAACCCCCCCACCAAAAAAAAAACCCACTAAAGTGAGTTTCTTTTTCCAAGTTTCCTGATAAGATGTTTAGCCATCTTAACGCCATTTATTGTAAGAATCACTGAAAAACCATTTGAGTTGTTCAGCTCGAAAGAGAACTGGTTAAAACCGTTTTGTGTCAGCCACACTGTGTCTTCCCAACTGAGCAATGGTGAGAGGAAAAAGATCATTCAGGCGTTTAGTAATGATAGCAACATTCATACACTGGCATCCATCTTCAAAGTCCGTTCAAGGACCATCAAGACAACGGGGAATCAGTTTAAATAAAGAGGTAACAGTAGAGAGGAAAACTGGATCAGGAAGTCACAAGAAGATCATCATTTCAATTTAGAGCTAAATACGTTCTTATTGTTCAAAGTAGAATCCATCAGTGTTATAAAATCCACGGGAAATTACAGGAAAGATATCTTTAATCATTTATTACATACAGAGTTTCAAATCGTAATCTAACAATTGGACAATTTTGATGTTACACTCGATATATATATATATATATATATATATATATATATATATATATATATATATATATATATATATATTATAATAAGTACCGCGCATATAATATATAAACCGGAGCGTGAACCGGACGATAGGTATACCTATCTACTCATGTTCAGAAAATGATAAAAACTAAATAAACAGAAAATAAAATTCCAGTCTTTTAGGCGGCGTCGCTAAAATTATTTGTAGTAGACATTGGAAAGAACCGGAAACATAATCCTATACAGGAAACAAGTGATAAACCTCTATTCCCGTTCGAAAAACTAGGGAGGAGTGTGAACCGGACGATAGGTATACTTATCTATTCCTACATGGCTTAGCTTAGTATGGTAAAAAAAAAGTTGGGGGGGGGCAGGATATTTGAGTTGGACAAATCGAAACTACATCCAGTCAGTTTCAATTAAGCTTTTCTAAATTCGTTCATTGTTCATATTTTTTCAATCAATTCCCCCGCCTCCTCACAATCAAGGTGATAATGCCACTAAGATACAAGACTGAAAAGACTTTTAAAGAAATCGGAAAATCCGATCCTAAACAACAAACAAGAGGAAAAACTTTTAGTTATTTCCCAAAAGACAGAGGAGGAGTGTGAACCGGGCGATAAGCTAACCTATCTTATCCAATTGAGGAAAGAAAAAAAAGAAAGCAAATTCAGTCAGTTCATGTGCCATGCGTGATACACGCTTAGGCGATCTTGTATCTTTCGATACATGACTGACGAGACAGATTTTTCCAGCAGTAGGTTGCCATTTCTTTCTGCAGTAGACCCGTTGCCATCCAAAGCTATAGAACTCGGTCTGTCCTGCTTTTAACAAATAGCTGGAGGGAGAAGAAGATTCATACCCTTTCATAAGGGTATTAGCACGTAAGTGAATGTAATGGATTCGACTGGAATTCGAACTCGGCGCTCCGATTTTCTCAATCCGAGCCGCTTATCCATTTCCACCGTGGAGTAAAATTTCAAACTTTTAGGCGGGAACGTTGGAAGTAAACTTTATAAAGAAACGAAAACCTAATCCTAATCAGGAAACAAGGGATGATCCTCTACCCTTGCTCCAAAGACCATAGAGGATCGTGAACCGGACGGTAGGCAAACCTATCTACTCCTATTGAGGAAATAATAAAAACTAAATAAACAACAAAAAACCAAAATCCAGATCTTTAGATGCAGGCGCTGAGTGTATAGATTTGAATTAGACTTCAGAGGGAACTGGAAACCTAATCCTAAGCAGGAAACAAGGGATAAATCTTAATTCCCGTTCGGAAGACGGAGAAGGAGTGCGAACCGGGCGATAGGTAAACCTATCTACTCGTACTGGGGAAAAATAAAAAAAATATATATAGTGAATAAAATTTCAAAGTTTAGGAGGAGGCGTCAGAAGTGTGGAATTGAAGTAGACTCCAGAGGGAAGCAGAAAGCCAATCCTAAAGAGGAAACAAGGAATAAACCAACACTATTTACATTATTCGGACGGTTATCCTCATCTTCATTGCCAAACTAGACTCGATATAGCGCCGCTACTTACTCAGTTCCGTAGCGATACTCGCCCAAGTATTCAGATAACCAGTGCCCCAAGAGAGAGAAAGAAAGAAAGAAAGAGAGAGAGAGAGAGAGAGAGAGAGAGAACTATATAAAGATTGAAGTAGATATGATCAGAGCGGTCTTCATAGATAGACAGCAGCATACATAGATAGATAGATAGATAGATAGATATAAACAGGCTGAGATAGAGAGATATGAGCAGAGTGGCATAGATAGATATGAATTGAATGGGATAGTTACTAAATGAACAGAGATAGATAGATAGATAGATAGATAGATATGAAAAGACAAATATATATGAATAGATACGCATTTAGATAGATAGATAGATAGATAGATAAAACAAACCGACAGAGATAGATAGATAGATAGATAGATAGATAGATAGATAGATAGATAGATAGATGAAACAAATCGAAAGTGATAGATAGATGAGAATAGACAAATATACATGCATAGATACACATTTAGACAGATAGATAGATAGATAGATAGATAGATAAAACAAACCGACAGAGATAGATAGATAGATAGATAGATAGATAGATAGATAGATAGATAAAACAAATCGAAAGTGATAGATAGATGAGAATAGACAAATATACATGCATAGATACACATTTAGACAGATAGATAGAAACGAAAAATGAGACAGATAGATAGAAACGAAAAAATGAGATAGATAGATATGAACACAGATAGATAGATAGATAGATAGATAGATAGAAACGAAAAATGAGACAATAGATAGATAGATAGAAACGAAAAAATGAGATAGATAGATAGATAGATAGATAGATAGATAGATAGATAGATATGAACAGACTGAGATAGATAGATAGATAGATAGATAGATAGATAGATAGATAGATAGAAACGAAAAATGAGACAGATAGATAGAAACGAAAAAATGAGATAGATAGATATGAACACAGATAGATAGATAGATAGATAGATAGATAGAAACGAAAAATGAGACAATAGATAGATAGATAGATAGAAACGAAAAAATGAGATAGATAGATAGATAGATAGATAGATATGAACAGACTGAGATAGATAGATAGATAGATAGATAGAAACGAAAAAATGAGATAGATAGATAGATAGATATGAACAGACTGAGATAGATAGATAGATAGATAGATAGATAGATAGATAGATAGAAATTAAAAAATGAGATAGATAGATGGATAGATAGATAGATAAAACAAATCGAAAGTGATAGATAGATGAGAATAGAAAAATATACATGCATAGATACACATTTAGATAGATAGATAGAAACGAAAAATTGGACAGATAGATAGAAACGAAAAAATGAGATAGATAGATAGATAGATATGAACAGACTGAGATAGATAGATAGATAGATAGATAGATAGATAGAAACGAAAAAATGAGATAGATAGATAGATAGATAGATAGATAGATTGATAGATAGATATGAACAGACTGAGATAGATAGATAGATAGATAGATAGAAACGAAAAATGAGATAGATAGATAGATAGATAGATATGAACAGACTGAGATAGATAGATAGATAGATAGATAGATAGATAGATAGATAGATAGATAGATAGATGTGTAGGGGAACTCCATCTGTGAAATCCCGCTATTTATGCGACCCTGTCATCTTGACGCCCGAAAGTTTTTCAATCCAATTTTGATTGCAACAACCTTCGACTAACTTTTTCAGACTTTCTACTCCTTTCCCGTTCCATAATTACCGATGGGTTGCGCGCGTAATTAGTTAAATGAGTGTTTAGACAATTGCAGTGACACAAAGCAACGCGCGCATTTCTGTTGCCTAAAACTGATTACATTGAAGTTAAATTGATTAAAATTTTATTTACCCTTAAATGCCGGAGTAGACCATTGTTGCATCAACACATTTTTCTTTCGACATTGTGTTTTTGGTTCACTGACAGACTCATTGGCAGACAGAAGGGAAGAGGTATTTTATTTCAATCAGATAGTACATATGTAAGAAATGGATTGATAGATAGATATGGGTAGAATGTAATAGATAGATAGATAGATAGATAGATACGGGCAGAGAGATACAAACATACAAATAGATATATAGATGGATATATAGATAGATAGAGAGATAGACAGATAGATAGATACGAACCAAGATATAGTAAGTCAGATAGAAAGATAGGCCTGAACGGACAGATACGAACAGACTGACAGGCAGATAGACGGATGGATAGATAGATATGAACTGATAGAGAGATAGATATTACAAGTCATAGATAGATAGATAGATAGATAAGAACAGATACGAAGGAACAGATATATATATATATATATATATATATATATATATATATATATATATATATATATATATAAATTACAGTAAAAACCACAATTACCTCAACATGGGTATAGTCTATTTCAAGCTGGTCTAAACCCAGCCGTCTTCACCTCTTAAGTCTATTTTAATATTTGTTATTACTAGGATCCAACTGATCTATTAGCTGTACTCTCTCTCTCTCTATCTATCTATCTATCTATCTATCTATATATATATATATATATATATATATATATATATATATATATATATATATATATATATATATATAGATACTACATACATACATACATACATAAATACATTTCATTGGATATGTCAGGAAAGACCGTTTTTTCCTATTTGATAATATTTATGATCCTTTTTTTTTTCGAATTTAAACGTATATTCCATATATTTTCCCACTTCATAATTAGAGCATACAGAACTTGCAGCCCTTAGTATATACAGAGGGTTGCAAGTTTTGTATGCTCTAATTATCATGATTATCTCCGGATTTTATTTTGTTGTTATGATGAGAATAGAAATTTATGAATTCATTTTTATCATTTCATTTTAGCTTCAAGTGGTGTAGCATGATATCTAGGATAGCTAAAGTATTGTTTGTTTCCATTTCATGCGTCATATTTGTTCCCTTTCATTTTTCAACAAGGTTGCCTGATTTTTTTTTCTTATATATGTGATTGCCTCACTGTTTCCAGGAGATGGTTTTTAAAAAGTTATGACATTCGCAAATATGTAGGGAGAGCTGCCATTACCTGAAAGAATTGGTCGCTTTGGGATGTCTGCTTTTTGAGTTTTAGGGAGACAATAAAATCTCTATTCTCATCATAACAAGACAATAAAAAAACGATATAATTATCGGATTCTAGTTGAGAACAAGAAGAATTTTCAACCGTCAGTATTTCCATGAACAGGAGAAATACATTTAAAATACTTTCACGTTCCTCAATATACGCTATTTCATATTCAATGCGAAACAAAAGGCTCTTAAAATATTTCAAAATGGAAAAGCAGTCCTTTGTGGCAAACGTAGTCAATCAAATTATACTGTTCTACCCACCGAATCTAACACAACTACAATCGAGAATTTAGCTAAACACAACATAAAAGATGTCTAAAATAATAAGATACTTAATAAATACAAAACAATACAATAAGCTAATACTTGAAAGAGGAATTTACTCTCTCACCAGTAATGATTGCCTCAAGGAATATACAGGAGAAACCTCAAGGGAATTAAATAAAATATTATATCAGCTGAAACTGGATCTTTTACAAAACAACACATTAATAATGAAATACTTGCTCGCTGTAACGAGTCTGACTACAATTTTTACTTTAAAAATGCTACTCTAATTAATAGAGAAAACGATTTATTGACAAAGATATTTAGAAAGTGATTTAATCACTAGATCATCCACAGTAAATTTGCGTTCAGTTTCATAAAAATTTCAATTTTCTGTTGCCACAATGTGGGATATTTAATGACAAAAGAAATGGAAACATTAACAAAAAGAAAAAAAAAGTGTAAATGAAATCAATTCGATTATATACTCAAAATGCAGATAATATACATTTTAAATGTATATAAAAATAATGCATTTTCAAGTTTAAAATTCTCAGCATATCTCTTTCATTTGTGTGAGTGTCTAGACACCTGAACTTAAACATAAACTCTGTCTGATGAAGTCCTAAACGTTGAAACACGTCACACGAAAACATTTTTCCACTTTGACATATTTTTCCCCCAAAATTGTTCTTGATATGAAAATGTTATATATCGACAAACACACACACACACACACACACACACACACACACACACACACACACATATATATATATATATATATATATATACAGACAGACATGGATACATGCATACACACACATATGTATATATATATATATTACATGAATCATTCATACAAAAAACAGATATAGATGTTAACGATTTAAATGGCGAGAATACATCTTCGCAAACAATTTTAATAAAGTACACTAAACCCCGAACCTGTATATGAATGATATGATCCCTGTTTATAAATTCCAGTTGCATAAGGTCTTTTTTAATTTTTTTACAAGCTTTCGTCTGTTCCTACAGACATCCTCAGGTATGGAAGTAGATTTGTTTTTGTTTTTTACTTCTCGGTAATAAACAGGGATCATATCATTCTGTGCAATGGAACTAGTTTCACTCTATTGAGCGCTTTTTGTTATACTAGCAATCCTTTCCAGGTGAGAAACATTTTTTTGCTGTTGTTTTACCATTTTAGTCCTTGGATGGATGATCTATCAACCTTGCGGGTTTGGTTTCCTTGTCAAATTGAAATCGCCCGTTGGTATATAGGTTGTTCATATTATTACAAGTCACTAGCTACCTGGATCCAGGTAGGTAGGCAGCTGGAGATGGCCGGGTGCTCAGCTCTTAGCTGTTGTCGAACGCTCTACCTTCGGGCGGAGAGGAACCCGGACGAGGCTATGTCGAAGGGTAATGTCTCGTCCGGGGAGGTAGACAGACCCGACCCCATTTATGCGGGATCTACGGGTAATTTTGGGCCGAGCCTAACTTGTGGGGATCTCAGTAAATATTACTGGCTATCCTGGTGAAAACACATGAATCTGATAGTAATACCCAGTCATTGCCGACCTGGTTATTTGAATTAATATATATATATATATATATATATATATATATATATATATAGAGAGAGAGAGAGAGAGAGAGAGAGAGATAGATAGATAGATAGATAGATATAGCTAAGTTACGAAAGAATTGGTAATCCGTATGGGTGGTCCGAAGGAGGATGAAATCCTGAGAGCTCAATGTAAATTCAGAGCTAATAATTTAAAGAAAAACAGACCCCTTTAAGGCTCCATTGTAATAGTTTATTTCACCAGAGACCTTTTAAAGGACGCTGGATCATCAGACATCACTTCCAAAAGGTGAAACGAAAAATGAAAAAAAAAAAAAAAATGAAAAAAACAACTTTTGGAAATGATGTCTGATGATCCTGGGTACTTTAAAAGGTCTCTGGTGAAATAAACTATTACAATGGAGCCTTAAAGTGGTCTGCTTTTCTTTAAATAATATATATATATATATTCCGTTACATTATTCTCAACCTTTCTGTATCCTCAGGCGGTTTGTATCAGTTGATATCTCAGCGCTTTATTTTTTTTTTAAATTATTAATGAACGCTCTATTATTTAAAAAAAAATAAACAAACGCACGACCTTGGGTATGATAGGAAGAGAGGGGGAGTATGAGAAGAAGAAGAAGAAGAAGAAGAAGAAGAAGAAGAAGAAGAAGAAGAAGAAGAAGAAGAAGGATGAGGAAAGAAAGGCTTTTGTAAATGTATCGGTGGATGGGTAATTGAATTATAAACATTTTTTTATCCTACCTCATATAGAGAATTGTTTTGTATGAAAGCAACGGCTCATAATTTCGGACCTTTGATTTAAAAGGATTTTTTTTGGATCCCGTAATATAAAGATTGCTAACTTTTTTTTTTTTTTTTTTGGCAGAGGTCGCAGGTATTATTATGGTTGTTGGAATGTTTCGCTTTTTTTTAATTTACCAGTTTATAGTTGGATATTTGTTGTTTTTTCTTTTTAATTTCCACACATGGTTAGTTAGTCTGGTGGAGCTCCTAAGATTTTCCAGCTTGAAAGGCCTGTGATTGTAACATCTTCTTTTGAAACTACTTTCAGTATATTCTATGTATGTTTTCTTCTGAACATCTGTATCTGTTACTTCTACTTTATAAATTACTGATTCGGTTTTTTTTAATGGACATCTATCTTTATTTCTACAGTTGCATAATTAACCAGTGTTAACTATATTGTGTTGAACGTTAGTTTTGGATATGATAGGAAGGAAGGAGAAGGATGTGAAGGGTATTTCAAATGTATCGGTGGGGGCAATTAAAATGTTATATTTTTTTATCCAGATCCATATTGAATTAAGAAGAATTTTTTGTATGATTGCAAAGGCTCATAATCTCGGACCTTTGATTCAAAAGGTTTTTTGATCCGAAAATGTCAATATTGCTAGGAAAATTTAATTTATGCTATACTTAGGTTTTCAGTGTTCTTACCTTTTTCCTGTTTGGCGGGAGAAGGGCGTACAAACTTTTTCCATAATGTTCTTTGTCCCAAGAGCTTTCGAATATATTTTTAGCCTTTTTTAAGGGGTTGTGCTTTTGGCATTGTTAATTTTCCATCATGTTTTGACTGTTTACTGTGTTGTTTTGAAAATGAGCGTTTATTA